AGGAACTAAACAGTGCTTTCAAGGCCAGAGACATAAACCAATTCCAGAGTTCCTGTTACCTGGACCCACTCCTGGTGCCAAGTACTGCATTAGTCAGGTGCAGGCAGGAAAATGAGAGGTTGGAAAGCTGGATGAGAAAACAGGGGAATCTTGAAGTAACATAGGAAAAATCTTGGAAAATGATAAGAGGTTGAGTTGATCAGAACCTAGGAAGAAAATGAGAGGAGCTTTGCAGAGCCTGATCCTGGAGTACCAAAGAGACTGAAAGCTGTGGGCAGTTGTTTCAGCCAGGTCAAGTGGCATTGCTGATAGAGATAGTAAGCAAATGGGAGGAAGGAAGTCCTGTCTCTTCTTCTGACTCTCAGTCTCCCTAGGATGTCCCTTTGGACACTCTTTCTTCCCTCTTACCAATTAAATGCTATTCATCTTCAGGGTCATGGCTTATACAAAAGGCAACATATACTTGGTCATATCTTATCACGTGCAATCATAATTGCCTGCTAAGTTATCTGTATCTCGTGCTCTACTGTAAACACTGTGAGGGCAGAGAATTTGTCTTCTTACTATCAGTTATTTCTTATCACCTGGCAACTAACTATCACTGTCTCTACATGTTTATTGAATGATATCATTAGTGAATTATCTACCGGTGATAAGTCTTCCCTGATCCACTTCCTCAGTGATTTAATATATTTAACTGTGTTGTATATAACATTGATTGCATTGTCTTCCCCACCAGAGGGTAACTCTGAGGGTCAGGATAATTACTTATTATTCAGTGGTACCTTTCCAGGGCCTGGCACTCAATAGATGTACATTGCATAAAGGAACACATGAATGAATGCATCCATGCATGAATGAATGAATGAAACAACCAAATAGCTGAACCTCAGTACAAACACATGGTGTCATCTGTTTATGAGTATAAACTGAATTCCGTTTTCCTCCTTCCCTTCTTCCCAGTCTCCTTATTACCACACTCCTTTGGTTCCTTTCTGTCTTTTTTTAAAAGATCAATCAGCATTATCTAAAGATAAGAACTAAAAATGACCAGTAGAGTTTATAATCAGATAGTCATTGGTAACTATAGAAAAAGTAGCTTAGTATGGCAGTAGTCTCAAGCTAGCTGCAGAGAATGGGTAGTATTTTTTTTAGAGACACTTGGCTATGAAGAAAAGGGGAAAAATTGATTCTTATAGCTAGAGAAGAATATAATATGGTGGTGGGGGAGAATAAATGAGAAAGCAGAATCAACAAAAAAATTCCAAGGAGAGCATTTGAAGAATTCTTTTGCCACAGAGACAGAAAGCGGGAGGTGGAGTGGAGTACAGATGCAGAAAGTTGAGGGAGTTTTTTCCCAATGTCCCCATTTATCCGAGAGTAGGAAGGGGAGAATCTGTGAGAGTGAGCCAGGAGGTGTTTGGGTGGCAGACATGAATGGGAGAGAGGTGACCAAGGAGATTTGGAAAGATCACCAGATAACAAGGACATTTCTGTGCCCTCAATCTATGCTGTTGTGAAATTTTCGCCAACTCCAGGTATCTGCTGGATACTCAAGGGGGGCAGAGAGATGGCGGATATAATCCTGGGTTGGAGTTTTGCTGCTCATCTTTGGCAAAAAACCAAGGACCTGAGGAATGTATGAGATTACTAAAGTGAGAGTTCGTGGGGCTGGCTTGGATAGGAAAAGAAATGAGTTGAAGAGGAAAGTTATCCTATAGTGGGAGAAATTAGGAGCTCAAAAGGCTGTAGGTCTTGAGGTCTAAGAGCAGATGTATTTATGTGTGCACAGACTTGAGTGGCACACAAACGTCCTTTACTCTACATGTGCCGTGTATTTATACCACAGAATAGGTTCAGATCCAGATTTCCAGATTGCTTAGTAAGGTCATGGTTTTGACTAATCTGTTTTCTTAATTTTCAAGTTTGGTGATGGTCTCTTTGTTCTAGTGGGTTATAAGGGTGTGTGAAGGAAGAAACAAGGAACTGAGTTCTAAAAGAACCAAAGAAGAATTTTATCTCACACTATTCAAGTTGTGAGGGTGTGAAGTTTGGAGTGAAAATGTATTTGTGCAAATTATCTCTTCTATACTAATAAAAGCTTTGGTGGTCATCATGCCCTCACACCATCACAATCCATCACCAGGGTGGGCAGGGCTTGATGCTGAGTATGCGATGCAGGGGCGGGTCCTGGAGGCTGCTCCACACAGCTTTCACCGGATGTCCCGTGGTCTCGCACGTGCCATGGAGGTGGGACCCCTCGCTCTGGCCTACCACTTTGGGGCAATCCATCAAGGAGCCCCAGATAGGTGGGCAGGGCCTACTTCTTTGGGGTGATCAGTCACAGGACTCCCGCATTGTGAGAGGGCACAGGCCAGGCTGAGGGACTACCTCCCCACCGAGTGCACAAATTTCGTGCACCGGGCCACTAGTAGTTATAAAGATCTTATTTACCTTTAGTAATGCCCTTGGTGGATTTCAGGTGAATGGTTTAAAGCTATATCAAAAATAGAAATAATCAGAAAGTTTCTGAAAAGTCAGGAAAATATTAGTTATAGTGGCAAAGCACATTAAAGAACAATGGGAACCATGGAAGAAAGTGAAAATAGAAAGATATGAGTTTATGTTTAAACCTTTAAAGATATTTATAGGTTTGACAAGTGTTGGGAATTTAAAGTCTATAATATGTCATACATAATATTATGTGCAATATATAGTAAATTATATAGTGAGTAAATTTATTTCAAAAATAAAATGTCCAAAAATAAAAAAGGTGCCTTTCTCATGTCAGCTCCATGCAGGCAGAGGCCAAACCTGTTTGACTTACCACTGTCTCCTTGGCCAATTAGCACCATGCTTGTCACCTAATTTTGCTCACTACATATTTGAGGAGCAAGCAAAATAAATGTAAGATGGTATTGTTCCCATTTCCATAATGTCAGAAGACATAAACAGGAATAACAAACTTTTAACAATCTGGGATTCTTAGAAATTTTTTCTTGGCTAGAGGGGAGATTATGCGATCATTATGAGGTCAAAGTGATTACTATGATATTAAATAATTGTTAATGTAATGTTATGCCTAATGCCTAGTGCCTAATGACAGTAAAATATTTTGGTGACTTCTGGCTATAGCATATCAAATATATCAAACCTATTTTATTAAACTTTAAAAAAGTTTTAAATGCCTGCAGATTACCTCAAATACCTTTCCTCTTTAAGGGACATGGTAAGAAGATATATATTAGAAAACTAGCATTCTATTCCATGCCTTGTAGCACTCAGTCCTATATCACAGTCACTAGATCAGAGTGAAACTTACATTTTAAGACTGGCAAGATGGAAATTTGTAATTGAAGGTTTTTTTTTTTTTATATTAAGGTCAAAGAACAATATTTCATCCTTTATTAAATTATATATCAGATATTCTAAGTACTATATTGTGGGCATTTTCTCTGTTTTCCACAAGTTCCTGAGTGGAGGAGCTGGGGGATTAAGAAATTAGAGAAAGAAAGAGACAAGAGGCAGAAATAGATTCATCAAACTGGGCGCTAGGTGGGTGCCACCTCTCTGATGGAGAGGCAGTCACACCCACCACAGACAACACAGCACATTTATTGATTTCCAAAGGGGAAGTTTAAGGTCAAAAGGAGTTTTGGGTGTGCCCAGGTCCTATTCATCAAGACCTGAGTAAGTTCCTCATTTTTTGGTACAAGGATGAGATTTATCATATCAAGGTCCTATTTGTTCCTCATTCCAAGTACATGGATAAAGATAAGAATTCAGTACTGATAACAGGACTCTGCCAGTGCCCTCGGGCTCAGCTGATAAGAATTAAAAGAATGTCCATGTGCCTTCTCAGGCGGCTCTCTACACTATATCTATGCATAGATTCTTGTCAGTTAAGAAAAGAATATAGAAAAATGATTGAAAGGAACTTGTATAAAGTGCAACTAAGCTACAATAGCACAGGATTAACCTGATCACTTTAATAGTATGAATGCTCTTTCACAACCAGTGATGGAAATGGCCTAATGCTTTTATCAGGGGAGAAATGAAACCAGAAACATATGGGAAGAATTCTTTTTATAATATTGAATAATGCAGCACTGCATTTTTCACTCCAGAGAGGATATGGAATACTAACTAGAAAACAAAACAAAATCTATGTATAGAAGCAACTCTATGAGCTTGCCTTCTGTGCTGGAGAATGAAGGGTGGCAAAACTGAGTGCAAACTTTGAAATAGGGGTCAACCTGCCAGGGCTGGTCAGCATACTCTGAGCGATGGATGAACATATTATTCTGACACATGTTTCTGTGAAAGAGAGGTTAAGGGGCTGTTTTGCTTTAGGAGCAAAGAGCCCTGTTTGCCTACCTCCTTAGGCTTTTATTGTCACAACAGCTTGAACTAAAATTAACCTCTAGAAACAACCAGCAAGGTAAGTATCCTTGAGAAAATGCAATCTACTACAAGATCGGAGCTTAAAGACTAAACATAGAGATTCTTTAAGACCCTGGGGATCAGACTCGTTTGGAAAAGTCAAGGTAGGGGCTGCCCCGATCTTTTGGAGAATCCCCCTTACAGACATTCCAACCAAATCCCGTGCTTCCCTATATAATCTACAGAAACTGTCCCTTGCCCTGCAAGCCTACAAGTATGTCATTAAGTCACAAGTACTGTTAGAAGGAATAATTAGAAATATGTTGTAGAGTTGCATAGTCACTCTATGGGAGGGAGAGGATAGTAAGCATGCACTTTGGAGAAGTCTTATGACTTAAGAATCAAGCATTTCAGCTCACGAGGCTTTTATTTAGCAAGGATCGGCAAAAGAGCTGTTTTGATGTGGTGGTGTTGTTTTTTTAACCTTAAATTGAAGGATGTTTTGCCCTTTGCATTCATCACTTAACATGTTCAGAGGAAAAGGAATGGGAAAACAAAAGAATGGATTCCAAAGGGATAATTGCTAATTTTTTAAAAAAATATATATTTTCCTTAAGGAATAAATTCCAAACTTCAGTATGAAATCATGCCGGGTTCATCGTCTGGGCTGTTCGAGATAAATGCTGACTCTGGAGAGGTAGTGACAGCCACTACACTTGACAGAGAAGTTCAGGAAGTCCTCACCCTCCGAGGTAAGGGATCCCTTGACTCTACTAAGCAAACAAACAAAAACGGGCAGGAGAAAGTTCAGTACTGAAATTTTGCATTTCATTAGGGTGTCTTTAAATAAAACATAATTATGCCAGGGCTACCTGTCAGTTTGGTCTGATGCTATCTAGTTAGGGTAGTGCATTTTGGGTATGAATTCTTGGCCACACTCTGTGCCATTTTTCTTTCCTTGTCAGTTCTTGTTCGAGATGAAGGAGTCCCTTCATTGTCCAGCACCACCACCATTCTCTGTACTGTGGAAGATGAAAATGACCATGCTCCGAAGATCATTGTCCCCGCTCATGACATAGAGGTTCTGGAAAACCAAGAACCAGGGGTGGTCTACACTCTTCTGGCCTTTGATATGGATACTGGCAATAATGGAGCTGTCAAGTATTATATAATTGGTAAGTGTTTTCATTATTAAACCCTCCCCCCTCCAAGGTACTGACCCAGTTGACACACACTGTATGATGATTATTTTGAATTTGGTATCTATTAGAATGCCTACACACCCACTAAGAACCGATTGGTGCCCTGGGTTTTCTCTCCACTCCTTCCTATAGCCACTGGAACCACTACCCTCCAAATTCTTTAAAAATCTACTGCCAAGTACTCATAAATTTTTCTATAGGGCAATGCGTTTTAGTGCCCTAAATTATTTAACATTAATGATGTACAGTTGGACAGAGAGCTTTTCCCTCCCTATTTTTGTTTCTCTCTTATAATAACTTATTTTTAATATTTTGAGCAATTCAGACTTTTTTTTTTAGGTCTTTCTAGAAGGACCTAGAGCACATGAGTGGGCAAACAATTCCAAGTTCTGAATACCAATGTAACACCTCAGATCTACAACATACCCTGCAGATGGAGGTCTTTAGGGACTTCTCTAGAAGATAATTTTGTGATCTGGCATCTTTGGATCGGAGGCATAAGGATTTCTGACAAAAGAACTTCCGCATCAGCACAGTCAGCTTGAGAGAGCCCTATCTTAATCACCTAATAAAAGAGAGATTGAAGAGTCAGCTTTTTAGGAATTGTCACAGAGAACATGGAATGGTAGGAGTTGAGGAGAGAATAATGCTTCTGATGCAGAGAAACTGTGTTAAGGTCTTGTGAACATAGTTTTAAGATTGGCTTCTGGAAGTGATTATTCTATGTGGTAAAAATTCTATAACCAGTCTACATTTTCTTTGTACCACCAATTGTACTCCAAAATGTCTTCACCCCTGATTATAAAATGATATGTAATTGTTGTAGAATATACATACAATTTATTTTTAAAAAAATACACAAAACAAAAGTAATAGCACAAAAAGTCTTATGTCATGCAGAGATAACTCATTTGGTATTGTGGCAAACACTTTTTCATGAGTCTAGGGAATACAGATACCAATTTTATTTTATTTTATTTTATTTTATTTTTTTAATATATTTTTATTGACTTTTTACAGAGAGGAAGGGAGAGAGATAGAGAGCTAGAAATATCGATGAGAGAGAAACATTGACCAGCTGCCTCTTGCACACCCCCTACTGGGGATGTGCCCGCAACCAATGTACATGCCCTTGACCGGAATCGAACCTGGGACCTTTCAGTCCACAGACTGACGCTCTACCACTGAACCAAACCGGTTTCGGCCAGATACCAATTTTAAATGTACTGAATAATTTATATTGTTTCTTCATTTTTTAAGGTAACATACTCTGTAAATCTTTCACATCAATGAATAGACATTTCTAATGATGTTTCTTATACATATGCATAGCATTTATTTAACTCATTCCTTTTTATGGTCATTTAGATATTGAAAAGTCCTACTATTATGAAAGTGCTATGCTGAACAATATTTTTATTATTTCCTCAGGATAAGGTACTATCATACTGCCATCCCACAGAATAATACTCCCTGTAAGTTACTTATATCAGCAAGCCCAATCCTTTCCTCTTCTTCTCCTATTGCAGTGGAATAGGAATTTCCTCCTCTGTAAACTTCACCTTTCTAAAACTTCTCAAACTATTTGTGATTAGGGGCCAAAGTTTATATTTTTTAATTTCAATCTTGTGACTGATACTTTTATAAAATACAATAAGAATAAGTTACAGGGGAAAAGAATCAGAAACATGCAAAATGCAAGCCCCAATTTTTAAGAACTATTGTAATCTGCAGACATAAAATTATTCTCTTGAGCTGCTATAAAATTTTCTAAATGCTTACTCTCAATTTCTGACTTTATCTTGGTGAGAACCAATTACAAACACTTTCGTTAGACTGCCACCTGTCCCCATCTATGGCATCAGGGATGTTCCTTGTACCATTCACTTCTTTTTTTCTGAATTGTCATCTTTTCTCCTCCTCTTGGCTTTCCCCATCACTTTTTACCATTCTTTCCCATTTTGAAAAACATCCCCCCTTAGATGTATCAATTTATTCACAATCTATTTGTCTTAACAATTAAGCTTCTTAAAACCTGTTAACCAGGGAGTTCCCTTTTTAATGACGCAACCTGTAACAGGTGCGTATTCTTTCACTAGGACGTGTCAGTACATCACGCCCGGAGGACGTAATTTCATATTATTTTTTTAATTTATACTTAATGAAAATAAATGAAATATAAATATATATATATAAAGCACAAAGGAAAATATAAAATTACAAAAAAATAGAAAAGAATACCGACAAAAAAAAAAGGACACGTCGAATTAAAAAATTATAAATTTTACGAACAATGATAAAGATTACAAAAAATAGCCGAAACCAGTTTGGCTCAGTGGATAGAGCATCGACCTTCGGACCTAAAGGTCCCGGGTTCGATTCCAGGCAAGGGCATGTACCTTGGTTGCTGGCACATCCCCAGTGGGGGGTGTGCAAGAGGCAGCTGATCGATGTTTCTCTCTCATCTCATCGATATTTCTAACTCTCTATCCCTCCCCTTTCCTTCCTCTCTGTAAAAAAATCAATAAAATATTTTTTTTAAAAAAAAGATTACAAAAAATATATACCACCCCTCTCGGGGCGCAACATATATTTCAAGGACGTATTCATACGTCCTACCCATTCCCAATATTGTTTACGTTTGACGTATTTATAGGTCCCGCTCGGTTAACAGGTTAAAATCACCTGCACTCTGGTTTCATTTTCATTCCTTTGTTCATTGCAACATGTTGCACAGAAGTCACTCTGCTGAAACTGTCTTTGCAAAAGACACTAAAGATCTTGTTGCTAAACTCAGTGGATCCTTTTCAGCTCTTAATTTCATTGTACTGCTTTATGCCTTCATGCTTCATGCCATGGACACTTGGTCTGACCTTGACTTCAGAAAGCCACTTTCTCCCTATCCTTCTAAGCAAGTCTTCCCAATGTCTCTGTTCTCCTGGTGGTCCTCTGACTTGTTGGAGTTTCCGGGTTTTTTTGTGCTTATCCTTTCTCTTGTCTCATAGATGCACTCTTATTGCATCATTTCATCCAGTCCATGTCTTCAGGAACACTGGTACCCCAATATCTCCCAATCTTTATCTGCCCCCTAGATGTCAAGCACCAATGGACTTTAAAAACAACAACAACTCAACTATTGACTGTCATACAAATATAAAATTAATGACTGCCAAAGATGTGTATTTAACTCATTAATTAATGAACAAACCAAAAAGATGTTAAATTAGTTCAAGGAAAATTCTTGAACTAACACACACACACACACACACACACACACACACACACTTACACACACCAAAAACCATGTAAATAATTTAGAGTGGTAAAGTAGCTGAGAGATGGTAAAGGTGGAAGGTAACTCTTGATGTCAAAGCCACATTGGATACCCAGTAATCTTTTTCTTAACCCAGGATATCCACTTACCCTTCTTCCTCCCATTTCAAATTGTTTCAATTTTTCCTGGCAGCCTCGAAGACCCAAATCGTATACAACAGCATCACATTATCAAAGTGTCCAAAACCAAACTTAGCAGCACCTCCTTCTCATCCCCCCATTATGGTCTGGCTTCTCCTACAGTCTCTGCTGGTGGTTATCAGCTGTTTTTGCTCAACTTGCCCTTAAAAGAATCTTGTTACACATGTAAGCACTGAAAATGCTTGTTCACATGTTTTACATGGGAGAGGATTATTGGTAGAACAGTAATGTTTCTGAAATAAAACCCCATATCAATGATCGATCTTTTATTTTATTTTATGACTTAGAAACTTGGATAGGTCCTACAATTTAGTTCATCTCAAAGATCCCTCCCAACTATGAAAGGATGCATTCCCCAGCCATGAAAGTCAGTCACTGTTTCAACACTGAACACCAATGTTGGGAATGCCTCTTTGCTTGGCAGAAAGTTTTACATTTTGGGGTGGTACATCTTGGTCAGGTTAGAATGGGTGAGAAGTGAGCCTTTCTTTATAATCTGAAAGAAGGGTGATAGCAAGAATAAATGTGGGAAAGGCAAACCCACGTGATTCTAGGTGATTTCTTAGGTGGAACATTTTTAGGAATGAGAACATGTGAACTGAGCTTCTGGAAATCACCTTAAAACTACCTGTTCCTAGGTACTCCTTGGGAAGCTTCATATAAGCCTGGGAGCACTCAGACCTCACTTTAAAGAGAACTGGTCTAAACACTTGTCTTTCACCTAAGCCCATCATGAATTCTTCCTTACTCATTTAAAAAAATATATTTTATTGATTTTTTACAGAGAGGAAGAGAGAGGGATAGAGATTTAGAAACATCAATGAGAGAGAAACATCAATCAGCTACCTCCTGCATACCCCCTACTGGGGATGTGCCCGCAACCAATATACATGCCCTTGACCAGAATCAAAACTGGGACCTTTCAGTCCGCAGACCTATGCTCTATCCACTGAGCCAAACCGGTTTCGGCACTTCCTTACTCATTTTTTCTTCATTATTTTTGGAATATGTCCACGTCCTCTCTACACAGATGATTTCAGAACCTCCTCATTGCTCAAGTAGATTACCATAGCAATTGTTGAACCTCCATATTCTATTCAAGCTTTGCACTGATGCCCAATACTCTTTCTAAAACAGAAATGTGATTCGTAACACTTTCTGCTGCAGTCCTTCAAGGACTCCCATGGACTTTAAGATAAAGTATAGACCCTTCATCATTGTGCACAGAGCACTTCATGATTAGACCCCCTGCTTACCTCTGAAATCCACTGCCAACCCTCTCCATACCACTGACATTTAAATACCCAGGGGACCACGTGTTCATTTAAACATTTGCAACCATTAATTTCTCCTACTCCTGGGACTTCACACATGCTCTTCCCTCTTCCTCCTCCTCTTCCCTGTTTTTGAAATTTGCATCCTGTCTTCCTCCCCTTTAGGAGTTATTTTAATGTCACTTTCTAATAAGCATATCCTGAACATCCTAACACAGGACTGTGTACCCTTCCTCTGTGCATCCTAGTGTCCTGAGTATATGATTTTCACACCACACTTTAATGTCCAAGTCCTGACCCACCTTTCCTCCTGAGCTATAAACTCTTGGAGGCTGGGATCATGCCCTAATCTCCTGCTATTCCAGCATCCAGCACATACTTGGTACACGACAGGTGTTTCTTAAATGTTTGCAAATCCCACAGAAATGTAGTTTGTCTGGTCAGCCCTATATTTGGTACAAATTAACCATGTCTTGTGAATAAATACAAATGCAAGTCCCTTCTCCTCAGCCTCCAGCATTACCTCCGGCTGCTGTGTTCTCTGAATGCCCATCCACTTCTTCCCCATATGCCTCTAGTGGACTCCAATGACTTCAGTGTGCCTCATACAAGAATATGCCCCTCAACCAAAAATTGGCCCACCATTCAAGAATATGGCCAGCAAGTCATTGAACCACATTTTTCCTGACTGATGCTCAGGGTAACTTTCAAATATCTTTGAAAGCTTTTTGTCTTGTATTCAGCTTTAACTTACATTCCACTTAGTACCAGGGACAGTAGTAAAGGAAATATTTTTTGAAGGATGCAGAGATGAATAAAATATCCCCCTTGATTATGTTATAGAAGAAATAGACAAGTGTTCCACCAACAGAAGTGTTATGATTCATGCACAAGGTGCCATGGAAAGGTAGAACTGTTGCTGTTGTATAAATGGCCTACAATCTGTAGTGAGTAATGTTTGGGGAAATTACTGTTATCAATTTGTAAAATTTTTGCATTTCTTTTTTTTTTATTTATGAGAGAGAGAGAGAGAGAGAGAGAGAGAGAGAGAGAGAGAGAGAAAGAGAGAGAGAGAACTTATTTATACATTATTTGGTTAATTCTTGTATATGTATACTGACAAGAGATTAAACTCTCAGCCTCTTAGCATATCAGGACAATGCTCTAACCCACAGAGCTACCTGGCTAGGGCTTGTCAATCTGTTAATCTTTGATTGGTATATAAAAATGGAAATTATATTCTGTTTCTTATCCTGCCAACTATTGTTTTATTTCAAATAAAAAATACATTTTAATCCTCTCAAAAGGAAAAATATATAAATATAAAAGTTCTACATGCACATATACAAAAAATCATATAAATCAGTTAAAGCAGGTATTAAAATTATTTATTGAATTAAGATACATATTGAATTATATCATTTGTTTATCTTTAATAATAGAAGCTTCATGAGGGCAGGGACTTTATTATTCATATTCACTGTTATAGTCTCAGTACTTACAAAAGCACTACAATGTAGTAATCAGGAAATAAATATTTATTGAGTGAACAAATCAGTGAATATACTGTATATATGTGTATATTGCTAGCCAAGGGCTGCTATTTTTTTTTTAAACTCAAGTGAACTTTGAATTTGTTTTCTTTAATAGATGGAAATACTGATGAGTACTTTTCTATTAATGAAACGTCAGGAGAACTCTCAAACACTCGTGCTTTGGACCGAGAGCAAGTCAACAATTTTGCCCTTGTCATCCTGTGCTCTGATCTGGGGGACCCCCCGAGGAGCTCTCTGGTGCAGTTGCAAGTTAGAGTCTTGGATGACAATGACCACAGCCCTTCCTTTCCCATGCTTCAGTACCAGTCCTTCGTGAGAGAAGATGCTGACGTAGGAACAGTGGTTCTTGTGCTGTCCGCTGTGGACAAGGATGAAGGCCTGAATGGGCAAACTGAGTATTTCCTGACAGATGAGGCTGCTGATGCCTTCACCATCGATCCCGTGGCAGGCACTTTGAGAACTGGCTACGCCCTTGACCGAGAAGCCAGATCTCAACATACATTTTGGGCTGTGGCCAGAGACTGTAGTGTCCAGGGCTCAAGAAGCACTACAGTAATGATAAAAGTGCATGTCACTGATGTTAATGACAATGATCCAGTTTGGGAACAGAACCCCTTAGATATTTTTCTTTCCCCTCAGTCACCTGTAAACCAGACAACTGCCATTCTGAGAGCCAATGATCCAGACTTGGGGCCCAATGGAACTGTCATTTTTAGTTTCGCAGAGGCCCAGTCAATGTTTTCTATTAATAAGTATACAGGAGAGATTCAACTTCAGCAAAATCCATCTTCAGAATATTTTCCGATCTGGCTGCGGCTTAAAGTTATGGACCAAGGGGTCCCAGCTAGAACAACCGGTGGACTCTTGATCGTTCACATGGAAGGAGAGGATGTAAAGTTGTCCTTCAGCCACCATCTGTATAAAGGGATTGTGACTGAAAATTGTGAGGCAGGTAAGTATCCTTTGAGGATTTTTGTTCTGCTTTCCAGCTCTTCCAGGTTCTGATTAAGTCTGGGGTCCAGAATCTGTTGTTATATATATATATATATATATATACACACACACACACACACACACACACACACACACACCAGGAATTGAACCGGGACCTCCAGTTCACTTATACCTTGTTGTTTTTAACAAGCCCTGCAGATTATTTGTTGCAGGACAAAGTTGGAAAACCCCTTCGTTTGGAAAATCCTTCCTATATTGAACCCAGATCTGCCTCCTTTGTGGCTATCCATAAATCCCATTTCTGCCCTCTGGAGCACTCCACTGCTGTACACATCACTCTTCAGATATTTTATTTTCTCCTTCAACACATTTTTTGGGGAATACTATGTGCTAGGTTCTTTTCCATTGGGATATGTTAGTGAACTGAAAGACAAAGCTGCTTGTCCTTATGAAGCTTACATTCTAGCAGAGATAGAAAAACAGTATCAATCAACATATTAAATATCTAAAGTATAGTATATGTTAGGTGGTGGTAAGAACTATTGAATAAAGAAATCAAGATTGGAGGAAGTAGGGAATGCTGAAAGAGAGAGGCAAATTGTGATTTTTAAATAGCAGATGAGATCAGGCATCATTGAGCAAGTGACATTTGGGCACAGACTTAAAGAAAGGAGGTAGGCATTCCTATATTTGGGGACAAAGTGTTTCATAAAAAAAGGAAAAGCTTTGTTTGTTCAAAGAACAACAAAGAGGACTGCATGATTGCAGCAGTAAGCAAGGTGGAGAATCATAGGAGATGAGGTCACAGGACTAGGCATTGGGAGGACTTTGGGTTTTACTTGCTATAATTTTCCCTTTTCTAGGTTGTTTATTTACCCTTCACATGCGAGGGTCTCCAACCACTGCTAGAGAACATTCACACCCAGTATAAATTTGGCAGAGTAATAGGCATTAAGTGTGTTATTCCTCAAAAGAATTGTCCTGGAAACCATCATTATTATTACAACTTTTTACATTAGTGAATGAAATTTCTACATATACCTAAGGCCCCAAAGAGAAATTTTTACAATAATGAAAAAGGAAAAAAACTCACACATTATCTGTCATTCCTTCCTCATTATTTAAGGCCAGTCTCTTATTTGGAATGGAATTCAATAGATTGAGTAGCATCTAACTGACTTCGCCATTTACAATGATATTGGATTTCATTACCTTACCCCTGACTCTCATATAGCTTTGGAGGAGACAGAAGGAGAAAGGCCTTAGGCAAGGTCACGTTTTCTCAGAAGACAAACACTCACAAAACAGGTTTCATCTTTGTGAATTAACCCCATTACCACCTCTAGGCCTCGGCTGTATAAGCTCAATACCTCATCTTATTAAATCAGGGAGTTCTTTCCCCAGGCTGAGACTTATATATGAAAGAGACATATATAAATCAGAGCTCACATTCTTTTATTCATATTAAGAACCATGTGAATTATAGTGGTGATGTCAGGTTGACCAGCTCTCTCTACAAAAAAAGAAGCCAAATTGTAATCTGAGAGTTGCTCACTAATCCTAATAGTTTGAGCAGGATGTGATTCACTTATTGAATGACATTAGCCGATTTACTCTTTCCTCACGAAGAATGCATGAACAATACCTAGTGAGATTTTTTGATGTTGTAGTGACCATCTGTATTTTCATAGCTCATCAACTTCCTTTGGATTTACACATTTTTCCCTTTAAATCTCTTAACACTTAGTCAAGGCTTCTGCCCTGGGAGTGATTCTGTTTCTTTATGTTTTCTTTATATGTAACAGGGTTAATATGTTTTTGAAGACTATTTTTCCAGAAAATTTAGGTTCATGGCAAAATTGAGAGAAAGCTGCAGAGATTTCCCACACATCCTCTGCCACTACACACTCATAGCCTCCACTGTTACCAACATCCTGCACCCAACATTTGCTGCAGCCAATGAACCTACATGGACACATCATAAATCATCAGAGCTCCATAGTTTCACCATTTATATTGTGCATTCTGTGGTTTGCACAAATGTATCATGACATGGATCCATCATTATGATATCACAGAGTAGTTTCACTGCCCTCAAAAACTTCCATGCTCTGCCTATTCATCCCTCTCCCACTTTTGCCCCTAACCCTGGCAACTACTTATCTTTTTATTCTGTCTCCATAGTTTTGCCTTTTTAGGCATTTCATATAGTTGAATTCATCCAGTATGTAGTCTTTTCAGATTTTCCTTCATTTAGTAATATGCATTTAAGGTTCCTCTATGTCTTTTCATGGCTTGATAGCACTGAATAATATATCATTGTCTGGGTGTAGCACAGTTTATTTATCCATTCATCTACTGAAAGACAACTTGGCTACTTCTAAGTTTGGGCAATTATGAATAAAGCTATTATAAAAATAGCAACTATAAAAATATCCACGTCTAGGTTTTTGTATAGACATAAGTTTTCAACTCCTTTGGGTAAATTCCAAAGAATGTGATTGCTGGCTTTTACGGTAAGAGTATGTTTAGTATTTTAAAGAAACTGCCAAACTGTCTTCCAAAGTGGCTGCACCGGTATGCATTCCTACCACAGTGAAGGACAATTCTTCTTGTTACGCATCCTTGTCAGAGTTTGATGTTGTCAGCATTCCGGATATTGCCAATTCCAATAAGCATGTAGTAACATCTCATTGTTGTTTTAATTTGCATGTTCCTAATGGCATATTGATGTGGGGGGATCTATTCATGTTTTTATTTTCCTCTGTATATCTTCTTTGATGAGGTGTCTTGTTAGTGTCATTTTTTTAGTTTGTTTTCACGTTGAATTCTAAGAGTTCTTTGTATGTTTTAGATACCAGTTCTTTATCTTATGTAAATGTTTTCTCCCAATCTGTGGCTTGACTTCTCATTCTCTTGACAGTGTCTTACTCAAAGCAGAAGTTTTACATTTTAATGAAATCTAGTTTATTAATTATTTTTTAATGGATTGTGCCTTTAGTATTTATCTAAAAAAAGGGTCACTGAACCCAAAGTTATCTATGTTTTCCCCTATGTTATCTTGTATGAGTTTTATAGTTTTTTGCTTTACATTTAGATTTATGATACATTTTGAGTTAATTTTTGTGAAGGGTATAAAGTTGGTATTTAGATTTATTTTACTTTATATTTGCATGTAAATGCTCAGTTGTTCCAGCACCATTTGTTGAAAGGTCTATCTTCGCCTCATTGTACTACCTTTGCTCCTTTGTCAAAGATCAGTTGACTATTTATATGGGTCTGTTTCTGGGTTCTCTGTCTGCTCCATTGATCCATTAGTCTTTTCTTTTCCCAATACCACACTGTCTTGATTAACATAGCTTTAATGTTAATAATACAACTTTCAAACTTAAAGCATCTTGCTAAATGTCCCTCCCAACTTTCCTTCTTAAATGATTGAAATATGTTTAACATTTCGGTGGCTGGACTACATTAACTCAAAATGCATCATTTAAAAGATAATAGATAATTCAAAATTATCCAAATGTTTGAAAAATCTGTTTCTCTCAAGTTAATCATCAATTTAAAAATATGCTTGCATTGCTTAGAAATACCAAAAATAAAACTCTGGAATTATTCACTCATGGACAATTCATAATAAAATGTTTTCATAATTATTTTACCTAAGTGTTTCTATGATTATGATTTTTATAGTCATCTAGCATTAATAGAAAAAAAACATTAAATGTATCATACTTTTCAATGCAATGTTAGATATGCAGTGAAATTCATAAAAGCCTGAAAATATAAAAAAATAAATTCTTCTATGTTTTACTTACCTCATAGAAACTGAAGATACCATGTTGGTTTTTATATTTTACCATTTCTATCTTGATGTGAAATAAGAACTAGTTGTAAGTTTCCTCTGGGTGTCTGAAGACAGACAGACTTTTATTTAAAATGTGCATAGTGCCCCGCTGGTGTGGCTCAGTGGTTGAGTGTTGACTTACAAACCAGGAGGTCACTGTTTGATTCCCTGTCAGGACACATGCCAGCTTGCAGGCTCGATTCCCAGTGGGGGACATAGAGGAGCCAGCTGATCAGTGATTCTCTCCCTCATTGATGTTTCCGTCTCTCTCTCCCTTTTCTTTTCTGTAACTGAAATCAATAAAAACATTAAAAAATTTAACAATAAAATGTGCATAATTGGTGGCAGGCTAAGGAGGTGGCAATGAGGGCATCTGTATAGTGTCAACAATAAAAATAATGTGTAGCCCTACCTGGTTTGGCTCAGCGGATAGAGCATCAGCCTGCATACTGAAAGGTCTCAGGTTCGATTCCAGTCAAAGGCATATATATGCCTGGGTTGCAGGCTCAATCCCCGGTATGGGACGTGCAGGAGGCAGCCGATCAATAATTCTCATCATTAATGTTTCTATCACTCCCTCACCCTTCCTCTCTGAAATCAAAATTTTTTTAAAGTTTAAAAAAATATGCATAGTAAGCCAAGATCAAGAAGGATGCATGGCTCTTTAATTATTTCCTTTTTTTTTTTCAGGCTCTCTCAGATGTAAATTTTGTCAGAGGGAGAAAGTATATAAATATTTGCAGCTCTTTGCTGACTTAACATCTAGGTTGAAGTATTTTGTTGAAAGAAATACTATTTCATTGATATTATGAGCATTTTATTTGCAATAAAGCCAGGATCAGTTCCCTTTATGGGAGAGGCCATGTGTGATTCTTATTTGCAATTCCGTACTCATCTTTGCTCTTTTACATGTAAGTGATCTCTGTGTTTTCTTTTGTAATTGGGCATATAATAAGCATCCTACCCGTGAAGAAAAGGCCGTCAGCAAGATTGTACATCTTGCCTGTTTTTCTTCTGACTGCCATTCTTAAGAATAGATGACAAGCTAGTACTTGAAATAGAATTTCCTGTGTTTAAAAAACAAATTGTATCAGGAAGCACAGAACTGTGAGTGAGCACTGAAGATAAAACATACCGCCCTACTGTGAAGGCATATTCCTACCAAACTGTAAGATATTTTTATATTTATAAAACAGTACCCTGAAATGTATCAAAATAAGCATCAGATTATAATAAAATTTGAAAGAGTTCTCAACATGTGTGGTAACTTGATTCCACCATGATTGATTAAAATCCTTTACTTGTCACTAAATGATTTTATAACTGCCTTGAAAAGAACAACAATTTGGAAATCAGATTTTTAAACTTTGTCACAGTTTATGTTAAGTGTAATGTTTTTAAAGAGAATAATGGATCTAGTCTTGGTGTTGCTATGCTTTCTCCATTACAAATTCTATTTATACCTTTATCACTGAATTTTCAGTTTTGCAGACAATATCACATACTATTTCTTTTAATATTTATAGCACTCATTGCATTTTTTTAATATTAAGTGTTGAAAAGGCTCCTGGGGAATTAAAACACACAAAGATATATTTAAAAAGTTCATGTCCATTCCAGCTTTTCTTCCTTTTCTTTTTAATGAAACACTTTAGTATATAGAATATACCCATTTGGCTTAGTTTAGAGTTCATTTTTACCATGACCACCAGCATGAGGGGTTTCAAGCCTGTTCCCTGGGCCTGCAGAGTAAGATTGAATGAAGATGTCTAGCAGAGATCTTGAATAGGTATTGTTTTTTTTAACTACTGCAATTTCCATTATCAGATGTGGTTTTATAGCACTGAGTGATTTAAAAATAATTGCTGTTGTTCAGAAGTGTTCAGGTAGGCAGAGAAGCACTTTTCTAAACACTCAGGCTAGACCACTTTAATGACCACCTCCTTCCCTTAGTTCCTCTCTCTTTCTTCTCTAATAACTCCCTTCCCCCCATATTTTTTTTTGCTGACTCCTGCCTCTCCTTTGCATCATCATTTTTAATTCTTGCCCCAGCAGATATCTCACAAGAGATGCTAATAAGCAGTCATATTTCCCCCCCCCATATTTACTAAGCATTTACTGTGTACAAAGACATGAACTTCTATAATATTTCTTTGTGTGTTTTAATTCTTTATTGTTTAAAGTTACATATACCATTACATATGTCTCCTTTCCCCCCCATTGACCTCTCCCTGGCCATCACCATGCCCCAGGTCCTCACCCCCTTAATGTCTGTGCCCATGGGTTATGCTTATATGCTGCACACAAATCCTTCGGTTGATCTCTTACCTCTCCCCTACCTTCCCTCTGAGGTTTGATGGTCTGTTCCATGCTTCTCTGTCTCTGGATCTACTTTTGTTCATCAATTTATGTTGTTCATTATATTCCACAAATGAGTGAGATCATCTGCTATTTATTTTTCTCTGACTGGCTTATTTTGCTTAGCATAATGTCCATCCATGCTGTTGCGAATGGTAAGAGTTCTTTCATTTTTACAACAGGGTAGTATATTTTAGATGTACCACAGTTTTTTAATCCACTCATCTGCTGGTGGGCACTTAGGCTGTTTTCAAATCTTAACTATTGTAAATTGTGCTGCTATGATTAACATAGCTTTAATGTTAATAATACAACTTTCAAACTTAAAGCATCTTGCTAAATGTCCCTCCCAACTTTCCTTCTTAAATGATTGAAATATGTTTAACATTTCGGTGGCTGGACTACATTAACTCAAAATGCATCATTTAAAAGATAATAGATAATTCAAAATTATCCAAATGTTTGAAAAATCTGTTTCTCTCAAGTTAATCATCAATTTAAAAATATGCTTTCTGATTGGTGTTTCTGATTTCTTGGGGTATCGTTTCCTACAAGTGGTATTACTATGTCAATTGCAAGTTCCATTTTAAATTTTTTGAGGCAACGCCAAACTGTTTTTCACAATGGTTGCACCAGTCTGCATTCCCACCAGCGGTGCATAAGGGTTCCTTTTTCTGCACATCCTTGCCAGCACTTGTCTTTTGTTGATTTGTTGATAATAACTATTCTGACAGGTGTAAGATGGTACCTCATTGTCATTTTGACTTGCATCTCTCAGATGATTAGAGCCCTTTTCCAGCCCAGGGTTTTTGTAATTTCTGTTCTTCTCCCAGAATCCTTTTCTTCCAGCTCTTTCTATGGCTTCTCATGCTTCAAGGGTCAACTACAGGGTCACACCTCTGAGGCCTCTCCAAAAGAGTATCTGCCTCCCCCTCAGCAGAAGTGTTTTCTACCATATAATCTTGTTTATTTATTTCCAAGGAACTTAGCACATATGAAATCTACCTTGATTGTATATTTGTTTTCTGGCTTGTTGTCTGTGTCCTCATCAGTTTATAACCACCATAAGGATAGAGATCTTTTCTATTTTGCTTGTCACTAGCTCCCCAGCAACTAGCATCACATTGGCTTATTGAAGACACTCAATAAGTAATCATTGAATGAATGAACACATGAAAACATGGGAGGCAAATAATAAGTACCCAGTGTTTGTTCTGGTTTTTCCCTGAAATTTTCTTTTCCTAATATTCTTTTTTTTTAACTCAATTTTATAGGTACTTCTATCGTGACTGTAAAAGCCTTTGCTTCTGAGTCAATCCAAGATAGCATTAAATACTCAATTTTTAGTGGAAATGAAGATGGAATTTTTTCCCTGTGCTCCAACTCAGGTAGGTATTCTCTCCAAAAACAACTTTATTTCCTGCATCATGTAATGTTACTAGTAATAAATACTTCTCCAAAGGAAACAAAATTGGAAAGGTAGAAATTGTTATAGGTAAATAATTTAAAAGGTAAATAAGGAAGTTTTTTATGGTAGCAGATCAGAAATTGTGGGAAATCAAGAACTATTTACTTGTTCACATGATCTTGCTAAGAATTCTATTCTTTACATTTCCAAATTAGATGGCTCCTATCCTATTCTTTGAATTTTTTTAGATAAATTGGTTTCTATTCATAATTAACTCATCTATGTGGGAGAATTGGAGATATAGTAGAAAGATCATTGATATTTACATTGAATTGAAAATAAGCACACATGTCTAGCCTTAGGGAATTATCATCAGATTCTTCAATTTGCCACTGAATGTCAATGATGCAATAAGAGAGGACAGCTGGAAAGGTTTCTATATCATGGTAAAGAAATTACTTCCAAATACAGCATGTATTAAATTTAGCTTTAACAAGACCATTATTGTGTTTTAAATGAATACCAATTGATTATTTAAAACATACTTTTTTGACTAACAACTATGTAGTAGATATGTATCTACAACTTCGTTGTCAACCCTCAAGAAGTATGTTTTAAATAATTTCTATATTACCATACAACTGCCTTATTTAATTTGTAATACATGCACATGGGAAGAATTGAGAAAGGGTAATTTCTTAAGTAAATGCTTTCTTGTCCAGGGTAGTGGTATGACTTTTTGATCCACACAGCCTTTAGTCAGGATCTTTCTGAGGTAGTCTGCTAAGAATCTTCATCTCTTCACCCCATCGTTTGGTTAAAGGGTAGTACGTACGGGTAAAGAGCCATTGGAAGCATTATCAATGAAGTATTGGCAGACACTTTTTCCCTCTCCCTTCCAGTCAACACGAAGTCAAGAAAAGCAAGTTTCTGTGCATCTACTTTTAATATATACATACCTATATATATATATACACTGTATATATATAGGTATGTATGTATATATATAAACATTGATCACTCATTTGGATCTTTGGGTTTATAGCTTTCTTCTGATTTTTCTATTAGACTTTTCACCTTTTGTGAGTTCAGGCTTTTTCTCTTGTTTTTCTATAGCCTGTGAAGCTATTAGAGATTAATCTCAAAGAAGAAAGTTGTGTTAGAAATTTTTTTAACATAAATGGGATTTTAGTGCTTGCTTACCTTCCTGGGTTACTGTTTACACTTTATTTATTTACTTATGGTTTGCATTTTATTTTTTATTGAATTTATGGGGGTGAATTGCTTAATAAAATTATGTAGATTTCAGGTATACAGTTCTATAAATACATCATCTGTATATTGTATTGCATTTTCACCACCCCAAGTCAGGTCTCCTTCTATCACCTCCCTCCCCTCTGTCCACTGCCAGACTGTTGTCTGTGTCTATGAGTTTGTGGTTTGTTGTTTTGTGCTCTGAAGATTTCCTACTACTGTATCAACTCAGTAATGCATTTCAATGCACACACACACATACACACACACAATTTATCAAACATTTTCTTTTTTTTATTATGAAGATCATTTCAATATATATTTTTATCATATTGATGCCAGGAAACATTTTTTAAAATCATTAAGTGTGATATTAAATTTATCTTTTATGCCACTTTTGTCACATAATCATTAAACTTTGTGGTCACTTTTATTAATGGTAAAAATGGGAGAAAACCATTTTATTAGTTATTGGTGAAATCAGTTATGATTAGATGGTTCTCTGGTGGGAACTGAATTTTCTGTCCATCCTTGCCAGAGTTTGCCCTGTGTCCATAGTCACAAACCAAAGGTTTACTTTTATATCCAAACTTCTTGTCACTTCATCTTAAAAACATCTACTACTCACTGTCCAAACCAGCAGGAATTTGGGAGCTGACTAACATTGTGTATGTCAATAACAGATGGTAGTATTCATTTCATTACTTGGTAGATTGACATAAAACAAAAATGATCAAACTTTCAATGTTTCAAGGGTATAGCTTTAATGGGAGAGAGTTTAAAAGCTAGGGGATAGCATAAATATTTATCACACTCTGGTTGTATATACAATATGCATGTGCACCATTTATAATTGACCGAAGTGACCTGAGTGTGCTATCAAACACTTAGCATTTGAAGACTCATAATCTCATTTTTATGTGTATTTTATAACTTGAACTAAAGCTATATATGTACATATATCAGAAGGAAAATATCCCTGCAGTTTCATTCTCAAGTCATTGTGTAACTGGCACTCTGACATATGAGAATGAACATGAACTTGGTGTTATGAGGCCCTTCCTCTAAGGAAAACATGGACTCCTGCCCATCCTATTACTAGTAGACAGAACCCAGGAGTACTTTCATCTCACCAGTGACAGAAAACCCTTGCTGTCTCTGAGAAAAATATGCATGTATCATCCAAGGCAAAATGTGGATCTGGTAGGTGCGCCAGCCGTGAATTATCTCACAGACTGGTTATTGTCTTTTCCACTTGCATAACTTCCACAGCATATGCCAATTATTATGCCAAAAAAAAAAAATCGAGCAAGGAAAGCATTAGAGCTGCAGAACCATTCCAAGTTCAAAATTCCAATTATCAAAGCCCAAACACAAGCCTTTTATTAAAAACCCCACTTTGATCTGCACTGTAATTGGCACACTTTCTACTCAGTGACACTGGCAATTTAGTGTTGCATTTCCATCGTGTTTCTCCTTTACCAGTGGTAACAGCACATGATAGCAAGCTGAGTGCCCTGCTCGGTGGAGACAGAGCTCCAGATGAGACCTTTGCACCCACCTCAGACTGGGCTTCTCCGCCATTTGGGGGTGGGGGCTCCTCCTTTCTTTCATGAAGTTTTTTAAAGACCAGCTTCCTTCATTCCCTGCTCATCAAAATGCACCTTAATGAGTCTCCAGCTGCCATAGTTAAAGCTGCTCTAAATTTTGTCAGAGATGTTGGTAACATCAGACTGTGGTTTATAAAAGTAATTTGCCTTTTAATCTAAATTGGTAACTAAATCTGATGATAATAAATGAAAGTGATTATATGAAATTTCAAATTTGGTAATATAATAAGTTCTTCATGTACAATATAAATGTTTAATTTCTCTTAATAACAGAATAGAAACTATAAAATCCCCTCCAAAATACTCAATAGCAAAGTTACCATATTTCTTGGGTTTTGATGGTTACCTAGGAAACGGGTTTAGATAGAGCACTAAGAACTGTGGCTTCCAGCAGCAGGCTGTTTCACTAGAGATAGAATTTTTCTAACAGTCTGAGGCTACTTAACTTTTTCTTTCTAAATTCAGACCTTGTAAAGATATTAAATCTATATCTAGTGATGAAGGGGAAGAAAGATGTAGGTACAACACTGGGATCTATACCATCTGACTACACAGAAACATTCTATGTATGCACTGTGTGACTTCTCACGGCTACCCTGTGAAGTCATTGCTCGTATCCCCATTTTACAGAAGGGGAGACTCGGCTCTGAAGAACCTGAGTAACTGACTCCAGGCCATAGAATTAGTGGTGGTGGAACCAGGTAATTTGCCTAAATTAAGCATCCAGGTCCAGGATCTACACTTGGTTTCAGGTTCCCTGAACTCCAAATCAATGCTCATTCAGCAAATCCCCACTCAATGGGATCTCTGACAGTGAGAACCAAGTAAATCATCATAATAAAAATATTAACATTAAATTCAGTAAGCAATTCAGCTGAAGGGGGAGGAAAAGATAGAGTAGAAACCAAAGAAAGAAATTATATCAGGGGAGGAATTTTCCTAATTTGAGGGAGGAACTTGAACATGGCATAATCCCCCAAAGCTACTTTCCCTAACCTGGTTATACTTTTCATACAAGGGTGTGACAAATGTTACTGGTGTTTTCCGCAAGCCAGATTTCAAGCTGGGTATTGGGGATATGATGATGTAAGAGGCAGGTAGCCTTCCTCACCTTGCAGAGCCCTAAATCCTGAGAAGTAACTAGACTGAAGCAGTGAACGAAGTACAGCATGTGTTTGTGAGGGTCCGTTGGGGGTTGACAGTGATGGTACAGGGATGGGTGGTCTGGAAAGATCTCTGAGGAAGTACAGGGCTGGGGACCGTTTGAGGCAAATGGAGAAGCATACATGGCAACTCTGAAATGAGCATTTGAGGAACAGAATACTTATGAGTTTTATGACCAGAGCAGAGACAAATGGAGAAGGGCATGATGAGATTTCTGAGGTGGGAGAGGTCCTTTGGAGAAAAAATCACCATGGGCAGCCATTGAATAATTTTACTCAGGACAATGACAATGTCTTTTTTAAATTATTTAACTAGAGGCCCAATGCATGAAGATTTGTGCAAGAATAGGCCTTCTTTCCCCTGACTGCAGGCACCGGCTTCCCTCTGGCACCTGAGACCTGGGCCTTTGCTCTGGCTGCTGCCTTCTACCTTCACTCCAGCCCTGCTGCTCTCCTGTAGCTTCCTCCACTCCCACCGTCCCTGCCCCTCATAGCAGGTGTCCCGTCCTACCCCAGCTGCTCCTCACATGCTGCCCAGAGTCCTGGGTGGTCAGAGCAGGGCAAAATATCTGCATCGTGGCCCAGCCATCACCATCTTTGTTGCATCAATTGGCTCCTTATTGGGTGTGGGTGTCATTGTCTTTGTTGCAGAGTGATGGAAAATTTGCATATTCTGTCTTTATTAAATAGGACTAGAGGCCTGGTGCACAAAAATCGTGCACTGTGGGGAGGTGTCCCTCAGCCCAGCCTGCACCCTTTCACTGTCTGGGATGAATGCCTGGGGGGAATGAGGACTAAACCTACAGGTAGACATCCCTCTTCCAGTCTGGGACCCCTTGCTCCTTACTGCCCACCTGCAGTGGAGGTGGGAGAGGCTCCTGTCACCACTGCTGCAACCACTGCTGTGCTCACCACTTCTGGTTGAGCAGCACTCCCCCTGTGAGAGCACATTGACCACCAGGGGGAAGCTCCTGCATTGAACATCTGCCCCTGGTGGTCAGTGGGCATCATAGTGACTGATCATTCTGCAATTTGGTTGATTTGCATAGTAGGGTTTTATTATATAGGATTCTATTAAGTGCTTAATTCAGAGGACAAAATGGGAAATGCCAGTGGATGGAGGAGGTAGATAGAAGAAATATCTGGAAGGTAGATTTCCCAGGCATGGTGATGGACCAATTATGGAGAGAAAAGAGGATTTAAGAGATAGCTTCAAGAGTTCAGATATTTTACATGAACCTTGCTCAGAGTTCAGATATTTTACATGAACCCTCCTACATGTTTGAAACTTGCAAACATCTGCATACTCTCAACCTTTTTCACAATGGCACCCTCTTCCCCTCCCCCCAGTCAATGGAGGAGAGAGGCCAGCCGACATGGGGCTTCGAAAAGGGCCAGGTGAGCATTTGAGCACATAAGGCAAAGATGATTTGGAACTTTTAAAATAATAAACTACAACATCAACTTTTTTTATTTTGTTTTCTCCCTGGGAATAAAAATAGGAGACCTCACTGTGAAAGAACCCAAGTTTCTTGATTTTGAAGTCAGAAATGAAGTACAACTCATCGTTTTAGCTGAAAGCACTGGGCATAGAGCCTACAGCAAAGTAGTCATCTTGATACAAGATGTGAATGATAATTTCCCACGCTTTGGGCAAAGTATTTACCAAGTATCAGTGCCTGAAGGCCAGTTTCACAATGCTCCTATCTTACAGGTAACAGAAAGATGTTTGTGCATGTGTGTGTGGATTATCATGAATCAATGTACATAAAAAATAGGCCTTTTTCCAGCACATAAGTTAAAATTTAAATGTTTTCAAGGCACATCCAATGTTTGGTGGATGAATTTGGAGTTTCTGAGTTCACTCTTCTTCCTCTGTTTATTTAGTGTTCAATTTGTGCCCATCTGCGCACTCTGCTAACATTAGCAGAGACTCTATAGGGGCACAGAAATTAAACTCACAAATGCATACAATTTAGTGGGGAAATCAGAACTGTAAGTATGTGATTTAAATGCATATAATTAATGTTATAATGAAGTGTGCATTTAATGTCATGAGAGAAAAGAGAAGCCACAGCCTGGTCAGCATAGCTCAGTGGTTGAGCATTGACTAATGAATCATGAGGTCACTGTTTGATTTCTGATCAGGGCCTTTTCATTGTATGGCATTGGAGACATGATAGACTTTCTTCTGCCCAAATACAGAGGAGTTGTCTTCCTGGTGATTCTGAATGGAAGTGTATATTGCTGTCTTGCTGTACCAAATAGCTGGCTGTGGGCCTTTCTGAACATGTCCTGGGCACCCAAACTTGTGCCACTCAGGGACCCCTGAGAACTCCAGCAGCAGTGTGTGAAGGCTAATAGTTTGAGAAGTAGAAGCAAAAACCCACCAGGACATCAGTACAATCACCCTAGAGTGAGAAGACGATGGGCATAGAGAGTAAAAATAAGTTTAAACATTTTAAAATTCATCTGCCATCTTTTTCATAAACAAGACTTTGAATTCACTAATGGTTTTGGGGTCAAAATGTAGTGCAGACTAAACAATATCTCTCCTGGAGGCCGATGCAAAACTTTCGTCCTCAGCACTACTTTGATAATTTGTCACCTAAATGATCAGGGGGGTTTTGTTAGCACTAAACCTAGGCTTTGTTTCATCTATTTAAAGATTCTTTAAAACAGAGACTCTCAATGTAATATAAAAAATCCACATATGGATTCCTTTTCAGGCAACACTTTAAGCAAGAAATAAAAAAGCAAATGACAGATTACCACTCACTGTGTGTAGGTTTCCTCTATCATTCCTTTTCTGGGGCCAGCATGAATCCACACACAGAGCTAGAAGCTTTCTATTCATGCAAATTAGATATTTTTCAACTATATTTTCCTCTTGTCTAAAACTGTAGCTTTAAACATATGAGACTCTACTGAAAGTTACCTGGAAATCCTTTGCCTGAGAACACGGATTTGCTTCCTAACCCATTATTCACTTTATTGTAAAGTGAAATGTAAGCTTCAGCAATTTGTTAGTGTTGCTTTGATGGTTGTTTTTTAAATGTATTTGACAGTCTGTAATCCTGTCATAATGCATTTCTCTGGAAAACAGACCTAACCCCTTTTTTAATGCATGAGTTGCTTCCTCACAGGTTTTTGCTGCTGACCTGGACAGCGGGTCACGTGGCCTCATTGAGTATTCCCTTCTTGCTGGCACGCACGCACAGGTGTTCCAGATTGACACGCAGAGCGGCGTGATAATAGCAAATGGGATTCTGGATTACGAGTTCACCAGCTCCTACAGGTTTGTCCCAGATTCTGGTCTATTTGATTAGCTATCTGCTTCCTTTCTGACAGCACTGTTGTTGCTTTGAGCTTGATTGTCTATTTATTGTACAAGTTTAGTTATAAAATGTGTTTTCCCTTTGATCCAACTTATGATTATGGGGCAAGTCTTAGAAAGTATTTACAGCTTTGGAAAGGTGATTCAATTAGAATTTTAAGGTTTCTTTTCATTTTAAGATTTCATGAATTTATGATGCTGCTAAGTACTAAATCAAATACTTTTTAAAAATCAATATTTGTCAAAAATCTAATGAGCCATGGAGCACTCTGCTAATGTTTGTTCTTACTATTTTTTTTAGAACAGTGAAGACTGAATGACATAGCTCTTTTTAATTCTTTATTCTTTTTATGTGTGAATTATAATCCTGTCATCAGGACCCTTGAACTGTGTTTTAATAGACATGATCTTATTGAAAGCACCCATGGAACATTAAATATTTTTTTGCCTAGAGTCCAAAATATGCCAGACTCACACAGAATTCTAAAAAAGAGAGAATCATAGTGTTACAAGTCTCCTAGGTATTTAAAATGTCAGTGCTATGATAATCTAGCCAAACATACAGGGATATTTATGGCACTTCAGTCTGGAAAAGAAAAAGACTAGGGAACCTAAAATGGCTGTAAATGGGGACTGCTTTAAGAATGCAGCCAAGTCATTCAAACAGAATGAAAGTGATTTTAAAAAAGAAGTGGTAGCCCTGACTTGTGTGGCTTAGTTGTTTGGGCATCTAAGACTTTGTTACTCAATGGAGCCTAATTAGCCACTAAGTCTAACTCCTTCCAGTTTTTCCTATGTATGTCATAGTTTCAATGTTCCCAATATTTAAATTGATCCCAATATTTAAAAGTGCCCCTCCCCAGTTCTCCATAAAGTATTTAACTCAAGGCTGGAAGAACTGAGAGAAGTTGAATTCTACCCATTACAGACAGACACAGACACACACACACACACACACACACACACACACACACACACACACACAGTCACCAGTAGCACCAAGGCAAGGAAATAGTTTACAGCTTCTGACTATCTAGGTTCGGGGCTCCCCTTCTCCCTTGTAGCTTTTTTTTTTTTTTTCCTCTTTAGTGCTCTTTCTGACATTTAAGGCAGTAGGAAATATAGGTTGATTTCTCCCTAGCCTACCTATATGTCCAGTGAGTGCCTCTGGAAAAGTGTCATTTAGCTTTTAACTTCACTTTTGAAATATTATTGTTTTGTCTGATGAGGAAAATATTCTTAATTCCAGTCCTCTGTTTTACAATATAAAACAAAGGGTAAAGGATATGGTCAGTTATGCTTCTATTCAATATAAATGCATTAAATAAAAATTAAATACTTTTTTTGCCCTCATAGTAAGCCTCATATAAGAAAACTCAGTAGAAAAACGACAAATTGTAAAACAGACTGTAAGCTCTGTCTGATCGATATTTCCTTGTTTTAAAAACTGTTTACTGAGCTTGAGATATAAAGCCATACGAAACAGTTCTTGTTTCCAAGGAGCTCAATAAAACTGAGTGCCCTTATAATCCATGTCAGGAAGCATAGTAACAATCACAGTAATTTATGGTGCACCTGCATTACATGTTGAATTCTCATCATAAACTAAATTTACAGAATAAGGAAACTGAACTTCACAGAGGTAAGGTTTGCCAAGACTGTGTAGCCAGTAAATGATAGAATGAGATTCTTATCAATTCAAATGGCCATAGTAGGGTTTCCTCTTGTATTATGTGAATGAATTTTAAATGTACACACCTGCCCCAGCCATTGTGGCTCAGTTGAGTGAGCGTTGTCCCATGTACCAAAAGATGGTCATGGATTCCTGGTCAGGGCAAATGTCCAGGTTGTGGGTTCCATCCCCAGCAGGAGGTGAGCAGGAGGCAGATTATTCATTGTTTCTCACATCCATGTTTCTCTCTCTCCCTCTCCCTTCCTTTCTCTCTTTCTAAAAAAATTAAAAGTCAAAATACATACCTGTACATTTATAAAACATAAAACAGAATAAAACTATTTTAGGAACAAAAAATAATAATAAAATAAGTTCCAGCTTGCAGTTGTGAAATAACACGTCTAGAAATGAGTATGTAAAAATGCGCTTTGAATCATTTGAAAGCATTTCCATTGCTTGACTTATAACTGATGAGGAGAGATTCATCCCTTTTTAAGTTGATATTTGGATATTCCTGGGAGCCTTGTAATGCTTTAGGGCCAAAGCTTTTATTATCAAAGCAATACACTTAAAAAAAATCCAGTAGTAGCATGGAGTATATCAACAGACTAAGAAGAAAGTCAGCCACCATTGCCTCACCCATCCCATCACTAAAGCCCCCCTTCCCCCAGAGACTGACATTTTAAACTGGTTTTCTCCATTATTTTAAACACCAAGATGTCTTAACTTACCATTTTAAACATTATCTATCAACTTCCTGTCATAACAGATGTGTATTTAATATTTTTACTTTCTCTTATCTAATTCTGTCTTTGTATTCATTCACTGGTTTTCATTTACTTAGTAGTCAGTGTTTACATTATAAGATTCTACAAGTGTTCATCTCAGAGCCATGTCATACTTATGTTTCCTTTCTTATGTTTCCCCTCCCCCTGCTCCAAAGTTAATGAGTTATCTTTCTTGTTTTGCTCACTCAATTCCCTACATCTATGTATTCCTTGTCAGCACTCCAACAGCTCTTCACGCCTACCCATCTTCCCCCCTCAAATGCCTCCCATATAGAATATTCTATCAAGTCCTCTTTGTTGCTTCCAGACCTGTTCCTGCTGCTTTCTGCCCTCCTGGTCTAGCATTAACAATCAGCAGTAGCTTTCTGTGTCTTCAGCAAAGCGGGGCATTTCATGGCTTTGCTTTATTGCTCTCTTAAATTAAGCTCATGTTCCAGATCCCATGCCTTTCTCTTTTTTCGTTTTTTTTTCTTTTTTTTTTTTTTTCTTTCTTCCAGTAGCTTTGGCCAGGGAAGCAAATTCCGTGAGTTCTTGAGTATCTAAAAGTGCTTGTATTCTACTCTCACATGTGAGTTATACAATGTATAGTATAGAAGTTGATTTTTATTTATTTATTTTTTAGAATTTTGAAGGTATTCTCTTATCTTTTAAAACCCAGTGTTGCTGTCAAGAAGTCTGTTGCCATCCTAATGTGTTTTGTACATGATTTATTTTTCCTTCTCTGTGGGAGTTTTTAGTTTATTTTCTTTATCTCTAATGTTTATAAATGTTGTGATTATATACTGTAATGTGGATCTTTCCTTGTGTTGAGTACTTGGTCTGCTCTTTGAATAAGGAGAAATCTTTCTATTTTTCTATCTTTTTCATTAATAATTACCTCTTCTCTTTTTCTCTGTTTTGTTTTGTGTGCTTACTTTGCCCTGTTCCTTTGTCCTAGACCTTATTCAGTCAATAGTTGGACTGCTGGATCGATCCTTTGTCAATACTATTTTATTTCCTACTTTCTATTTTTTTTTGGGGGGCGGGGTATGTGGGTTTATTTATTTATTTATTTATTTATTTATTTATTTATTTATTTATTTATTTTAGAGAGAATAACTTAATTTTAACCTTCTAAACTTTCTTTTTGCTCTAGTTAGAAAACATTTTTGGACATTGTTTATATTTTTTTTCCCCAAGAGTTTTTTTCTTGACTTTGAACTTTCTGTAGCATCTCATTCTTAATGTATGCATGCATTACCTTCTGATGTCTCTCAAAGGACATGAATTAGAATTGTTTTTACATTTTCTTTTGTTCTTTCTGGATCTCTGTTTCCTTTGGGCTCATTTCTTCTCTTTGTCTATTTCATACTTGTGTTTTCATGTTGGAGACTTTCTTTAAGTAACTGATGATCCTTGCTCTGAGTGAAACAATAGCAAAGTCGCTGGAACCTCTGAGTGGGCTGGAGGGGTTACTGACCAATACACTTTACTTTCAGATGAAGCAGAGAGGAAGTAGACTATTTTGCAGGATGACATACAAATGATAATACATGTAGATGGTTCTTTTTTCTTTGGGATGGGCCAGTCTCATTGATAGTCTCTTGGTAATACTCATTAGGATAGCAGCCCTAAAACATGGAGCCAATTGGACTGGCTACAACCAATATTCCACAAAGACTGCCAAGGAGCTATCATAAGAAACTTGAGGTCTCTCACAAGTTGTGTGTAGAATCTCAATGGATCTGACTTTATAATTTTTCATTTTTTTTAAGCCACTGAGAAACCTTTTAGTTGTCCTTTTATTTTGAAACCGAATCACATATTTTTCTCTATATCAAAGAATCCCATTTTTTTTTTTAGCCTGACATCAGGTTAAAAGTTGTAATGTTGTGAAGGGCGGTTATGGCTTTGGTAGAAGGAGACATAACTTTGATGTGTTGGCCGAGACTTTAGTATGACATTGGGGAAGGGCAGGTAGCAGGGCCAGAGAACATTATGAGTTGATTATTTTTAGTAAAACATTTCCATATGTATCTGACTTATGTTCATACTAACAAAACAGACCTTCCACATGGAATTATTCCTAGGCTTCCTTGTGAAACTCAAGTCATTATATACTGACTAGAGGCCCAGTGCATGGATTCCTGAACATTGAAAAGAAATTAATTAGAAGGTGGCCAGTGGAGCAGAACTAGGTGAGATAGGCAACATGCCCTGGAGCCAACCTCCATGGTCCCTCTCTGGCTGGCTGCACCTGGGGCAGCACTAGGGGTTAAAGGGTATCTGGAGTGAGTGGGATCCCTCCTGCAGATTGGCTCCCTCTAGCAGGTAGGGTCCCTCTTCCTGGCCTGTGGCAATCAGCCAAAACCCATAGTCCAACATATCCTAAGTGGTCCTGGCATGTGAGAGGGCTCTCTGCAAAGTTGCTGTCGCTCAGCAAGGCTCCTGTGGTAAGCATCTGCTCCCTGCTGGTCATTGTGCATCATAGCTACTAGTTGGTTGGCTGGTCAGCAGGTTGCTTAGGCATATATATATATATTCCAACTTTGATAGTGTTAAAAGCAGCCTGTGTGCTTTATGAATGGTAGATAACAGTAATCATTTGCTATCAAGTGGAATTTAAACCAAGAAAGAGTTGATGGTTATCTTACATCATTTTTAAATTTAAGGTTAAAAAGAAAGAATACTTATTAGGTAAGCTAACAATGGAAAAGAAAGTATGTTCTAGGAAATTGACACACTTATACTTTCTAAAAAGGTATCATCAACAGCTGGCTAAGACTAAAATCGCCTCTGAAATAAAGATCATCTTCTGATTGACAACTCACTTTATTATTCAGCTACCCCTATTGACCTCCCAGTGTTTAGAGGAGAGTGAAAAATGAGCTAATGATTACATATTAAGGAGTAACATATACACAGTAAGAGAGAGAAGTGAAAGGAGGATCATATATATAATGGAACACAAACTGTCCAGTCAAGCAAGACCTGGGCTTGAATCCTGGCTTTGTGATATAGTATAATATAGTATAAGTGTGATACATTTATAATCTTTAAAAAATTTTTTGAGAAATCTGTACTCAACATATATTAAAGAAAATCAGAGAAGGTAGCCAACTGGCCCTTGAAGCAGTTATGGGAGAGCCTGACAAATAAATCATTAAGAACAAAGGCTAATTATTGTACAGAAGAATGTACAGGGACAGAGAGGGACATCCAAATCAAATGAGAGGTCAGTGAAAACTACAGACCAAAGGTGTAGGGACAGGATTCCAGGCAGAGGACAGATCATAGAAGGGCATTGTACACATGCTCAAGGATTGGACTTCCTCTTATATACATGGAGAAACAAGGAAAGGTTTTAAGTAGGGGGGTAGGTTTTTAGATCTGGAGTTTAGATAGAACAATTGAGTTGCAATGTGGTGGTTGTATATGAGCAGATGAGACTTGCAGCGGGGAGATTGGTAAGTAAATAAGTACTCCAGATGAGAAAGAATATAATGAATACACACCATTCCAGGTAAAGATGATGAGGCTACAGAACCAATTTATCCTGGTTTTCCCAGAGCTGTCTAGTTTTTAAAAAAATCTGAAAGTCTCACGGCCTAGGAAACTCTTTGGTCCTTGGCAAAGCAGGACGGTTGATCAGCCTTTCTGAGACTCTGGAGGAAGGGGTGAAATGGATGAGATCACTAATTCAAGTGATACTTAAGAGGTAAAATCTTCAAGACTCATCTTTAGTTGGGTGTTGGAAGGGTGGTGACAGAAAGGGAGGAGTTGAAGACACTAATACATTTTCTAACTTGGTTGCTGGATAAACTAGTTGTATCATTATCCAAGAGAGGTTGAATCACGGCATGTGAATTTTTTCAGATCATGTACTTTCACATCTACTTTATAGTCCTAGCCAATCATGCATTTTTTGTATATGTATTAATCACAGCGATTTCCTCTTTCAATTCTACAGTTTTGATTGTTTTTGCAATTTGGGTCTGAAAAAAATATCAATATAAAACAACTGTTTGGTGGCTTTATCTTTTGTTGATACAGTAAAATGAAAATATGTAGCAGGTACTTTTTTATGTTTTAAGTTGTTCTTAGTAAGAAAGGAATGAATTTGACAGTCTATTTCCCAGAAATTATGCATTCTTTTGATCCAGATGCCTCCAGAGCCCTGGTGGTTTGCTGGAGTTGCTTCTCTAAACATGAAATAAATAAATAAATAAATAAATAAATAAATAAATAAATAAATAAGTTTCAGGCTACTATTCTTATGAAATAAATTTGAAATGATATCATTTAGAAAAAGCCAGTAGGAGAAAGAAATATAGCTAGCCAGCTCATTTTTAAATTTTCAACTGGAAATTTGATATTTATGTTGTTTTTCTTGATTCTTTTCCAAACCAGCTTGATTGTACAAGCCACAGATAAAGGAATGCCCAGGCTTACGGGTACAAGTATGGTCAAGATACAAGTGACTGATGTAAATGACAATGCCCCGGCTTTTCTCCCCCTTCAACCAGTGGAAATTGCAGAAAGTGAGTGTAGCAGTTTGGAATGGTGGTTTTGATTAACTTGTATTAATATCATCTACCATATTTTCAGCCAGATGCTGTATTAAGTATGAGTACTAATTCTAAACAATTAATTCTAAACATAGTTTTAATCTTTATTTTAAAGAATAAAATACTGGTGGTCAAACGTTTATCAAATGTCAAAGAAGTTAAATGTTGAAGCTGGGATTTGCATTCAAATAAACAGAAGGCCAGTTCCCCATGCCCAGACTGCCATTGCAAATGGGTTCTTTTTGTGTTCAGATATTTCTTAAAAATGAAATTTGCTCTGGGAAGTAGCACATTTTGTTTACTAATAATCAGCCTAAACCTCCTCTGAGAAGAAGCAATCTCAGATTGATAACTTTGTTAGTCTTTGCAGTATATTAATAATAAGTGACAGGGATTGCTTTTCATCATACAAAGTCATCATTTTCCTCTCATGTAAACTAAACATCTGCAAAAAGTTTCACACCATTAGAGGTAGAGGCTGCAAATACAGAATTTTATGTGATATGCTGATTAATCTTAATTGTTTGGGCCTCTGGGATATATGATGACTCAATAGATTATGATCCCAAAGTTGCCTGTGGTCAACAGCTCTGGTGAGAAAATGCAACCCAACTCTTTATAATTGAAGTCCCAAATAGTGTAGCCCCTCACTTGCCTCTCTCCTTGTACTATTAATACTAAATTTATTCCTACAGTGTTCCTAACATTTTTAAGTCCCCTTTCCAAACAAATTGTAACCATCACCGATCACAGACGGCAATGTTGCAGAAATTTCTATATTTAGGGACATCTCCAGATATTCTATTCTTAAATATATTTTATTGATTTTTTACAAAGAGGAAAGGAGAGAGATAGAGAGCCAGAAATGTCGATGAGAGAGAAACATCCACCAGCTGCCTTTTGCACACCCCCCAACGGGGATGTGCCCGCAACCGATGTACATGCCCTTGATTGGAATCAAACCTGGGACCCTTCAGTCCACAGACCGACGCTCTACCACTGAGCCAAATCAGTTTCGGCCAGATATTCTAAATATTCTAAAATATTCTATCAATAAAAAAATTCTTCATTTTTGTTTCCTACCTATTTGATAGATTTTCATGTGCTTTTACTGAAGGTGCTATTCTAAAGTATATGCATTAGCATACAAATGCAGCAAGGTGCCCGATATATTATAAACACCGGGTGTCCCAAAAAATGTATACACATTCTAACAGCTGATAGCTCAATTTTGAAAATGAAATGTATTTTAATAAGCACTGCCTTTATAATTATTCAAAGTGTATGTATATATTTTGGGAGGATACCCTGGGTATTACAAGAACAAGCAACATAAACCAAAACATACTGAGTGGGTTAAGATGTGGTTGGTGAACATCAAGAATGTTCAAGCTTGAATATGAAAACTAGGAGTCTTATATGCAGTGGAACTATTCTGAATACCTTGTTGTCATCTTTCTACCTGTACCATACATGTAAGCTAAAAAAAAAAAAAAATCCCTTTCACAGCAGTTTAAGCTAGAGGATACATAGAGTGTGAGGCATTTAGCATGTCATCTCTTTTGTGATTATTTTTGTGTGTAAATAATACTAAAGATTTGTTTTCATAACTAGTGCTATGTATATTTTGGCTTTCTATAGTATTGACCATTTTGAGAGTTATATTTTAAGGGAAGGAAGCAATGTATATGTCACTCCAAAAAGAAATAAATTTGCAAGATAAGTGCCAAAGAACTAAGTATCTATTCTTAACTTCGGTATCCAAACATTTTTATTTCAGACTTGCCTACTTTTTCAAAATGTTGTTTTTTTTTATTAGTGTTTTGAGTAATAATCTTCTTCCCACCCATACCCCCATGAATATATGATTTTGATACAGAATCTATATAGTACAAATAAGTGGCTTAGAATGTTTCTTGGTCCTGGGAGTATGTTGTAAGCATACAATGAAAAATGTAATATAAAAATTGACTTTACCCTATCCCCTCAATTCTCAATTCAGTGGTAAAATTTCACTTTTATTGGGCTTATAAATTCTTCAAAGTTTTTGTTTACTTTATAATGAGCTGTGTATGAGAAATCATGCCAAGAAAAAGCAAGTCATGTTGGACTTCAAATAAATATAAAAAAGCTTGGATTGAACTATTCAAGAGATATTTCAAAGGATGAATTTTAATAGAGACTGACATTGGTCATGACTATTTCAGATTCTTTGCCTGGTGTAATTGTGACTCGAATATCAGTTCATGATGTGGATTTGAATCCAGCTTTCGTCTTCAGTTTCACCAAAGAGAGTAATCCTGGAACAAAGTTTGCTATTGATCAGTACACTGGGGAGGTGGTGCTAATGAAAGCATTGAATTTTGAAGAAGCTGCTGAATATGAGCTGCTTATCCAAATTTCTGATTCGGTGCACCACACTGAGGGAGCACTCATTGTCCATGTGTTGGACATCAATGATAACCCGCCAGTGTTTTCTCAAGATTCTTACCAGGTAAATAGCTTGCCTAGATGCTAAAACAGAGCCCAAGCTGGAAAGAATAGGAAACAATTAGAAAGAATAGAGAACAATGTTAGCCTACCATTGAGGACAGACTAATTTAGACAGACAGCAGTCCCTATTTTTAGTGCCTAAGTTGATGCTTAGAGGATAGAAGTATATATGAAATTGAATGTATCATTCTATTGAGTTTCTTAAGTATGTATTATATATCATCATATGAAACTATGTTATCATTTTTCTAGTTTTTAGGGATTGGGGTCCTGTTGTTCATAACAATTGGAACTTGCCTAATATTTTCAAGGTCACAAATAAGACAATAACGTGACCTATTGTAGCCTTAAGTAGATTATCTGCAGATAATTTGGAAAACCTTTTTCTTTCCTAGGTATTAGAATATTAGGTTTTAGAATATTTTGGAGTGCTATCATTTTGCAATATATATATATATATATATATATATATATATATATATATATATATATATATATATAACAAAATTGTGAAGTGGATATTTTAGTTTTTAGGGCATAGTATATGTTTATAGAAATAAGTACAATGATAGCATTCAACTAAGTACTTGGACATGGGCTTTAGGACACTTGAATGTAACACACACTAAGTTTCTGTGTAAACCCAGGAGAGAAACTAACCTAAGTAGTGATCTCCTGTAAAGGCTAGTTAAATCAGGTAATGTATATAAGTCATAATATATTACTGAATGTATTAACTATCCTTTACCACACAGAAATAATTTAGAAGGAATTTTTTTCATAATAAAAATAGAAACTGAATTAATCTTTTAAAAATATTTTTTCTGAATTCTGGGAACACAACATAATCATCTTAATATGTCAGCTCTGTAAACATAGCTAAAAAAGTCAGGTTCACTGTGAATTTTCTATAAGCAAAATGAATAAAATGATCTTACGTTTTGGCCCTGTGCATGAGAATATCTGTAGTCTTGTAGCACAACATCCACTTCTCTGTCTTTGTTTCTCAGATCACTATTCCAGAATTGGTGCCTGTGGGGTACTCTGTGCTGACTGTGGCAGCCACAGACCCAGAGAACAATGAGTACATTTCTTACCGAATTATTTCCTCTTCCTCAGAATTCTCCATTGATCCTAGGAATGGTGAGTTATGTATAGTGGCTTTAGTGTTCAGAGTCTAAGTTATAGGCTGGAAACCTGAAATAATCCTTTCCAAATGCTCCTAAAATAGCTCCTCATCCCCATCCCCTAGTATTACAAACCCCACCATCTTATTTCTCTTTATGTCAGATGCTGTGATAGCAAACCCCAGTGTTATTTCTCTTCCCCAGCATCTCAATGGCTGGAAAGTAAAAGGAATTGATTAAATGCTGGCGATGGCTCAGAGGTTCAGAGACCCCCCATATAGTAAACACCCAGTCCATTAGTCCAACCAAGCACAGTTCAGGAAGTTATCCCAGGCTTTGAAAGAGTATGAGGACTTTGTGTTACTAAAGTTTGAAAGTTTTCATTGAAGCCTAATTACAGAAAGTTCAGTAATAACACTCAATAAGGACCAAAGAAAATGGGAGAAAAATTATTTGAGCATATCTACTGAGTAAAAACATGGTGACGTTCTGGTTTATTTGATGCTATCCAAGGCTGTTTGTGTTTTTATCAGAGCAAGACATTTGTGGCAGTGAAATGCATTTAAGTAAGTGATTTCAGATTAGAGCAGTTAAGCTTTGTACAGAGAAAGTTTAACAGTGAGTAGACAGGATAGCTAAACTTGGTAAAGATGAATAAATAGCAATGGAACAACTTACTATACAAAAAGAAAACTAGGACAAATTTATGGCAAAGTTATCTGCAAGCAGCACACATATTAAATAGAGTGAATGTCATGAATATTATTTCTGACTCTTACGTGTTACAAAAGTACAAATATAATAATTTTAATTTTCTATTTGGAGTTACTTTTGGTTGTAAATTAAGTAACAAATAAGCAAACACATTGGTAAATATTTGAAACACATTTGCTAACTAAATGGATCATGAAAATTTAATTTCACAGCATTGAAATGCTATGTCTTATTTTTCAGGCATGATATTTACGACCAAACCCATAGTACTTCTGGATAAAAAATCAACAGTTCAATTTCTTGTTGAAGCCAGTGATGGTGGAATTCCTAACCTGAGGGCTCTTACCTTAGTGGAGATAGAAATACAAGATATTAACAATCATCCCCCTGTGTTTGCCATAGAATATTACAATATTAGCTTGAGTGAAGATGCTCAAATTGGAAGTACGCTTGTCACCTTCTCAACCACTGACCAAGACTGGGCCCCTGAAAACACACATGTTGAATATTCCATCATCAGTGGAAATTCACAGAACAATTTCGACGTGGAAACTCGTTTCCTTCATTCACAATATCCTTTTAAGCAGGTTGGTTATTTGGTGTTGCTTCATAATCTGGACAGAGAAGCATCTGCCAGTCACAAGCTTGTCATTCTGGCATCTGACCACGGCTGCCCTCCACTGACTTCCACCACCATGGTGTCCATAGAAGTGCTCGATGTCAATGATAATCCACCTATATTCCACAGTCTGACATACCACGCACATGTCAAGGAAAGTACCCCTCTGGGGAGTCACATCACCGTGGTGTCAGCCAGTGACCGCGATGTGGGTTTACATGCAGAAATCATCTACCACATAAGCTCTGGGAACGAGAAGGGGCATTTTTGCTTAGAAGAGAGGACTGGAGTCCTTTATTTGACTAAGCCTTTGGATTATGAAGAAACGATAAAATTCACTTTAACCATCCAAGCTTCAGATGAAGAAAAGAAACATTTTTCTTTTGCAGTTGTGTTTGTCAGTATCCTAGATGATAATGATCATGAACCTCTGTTTCTGTTCCCAAGGTTGAACTGTGTTGTTCCTGAAAATCTGCCTGTGTTCTCCACCATATGTTCTGTAAATGCTTTGGATTTTGACGCAGGTCCTTATGGAGAATTGACCTATTCTATTTTATCCCCTTGTCCTGCCACTCATGGAGCACCTCCTGACCATGATCCCTTCCTCATTGACCCTCTGACAGGGGATATTCATGCTAAGCAAGTCCTTGACTATGAAAATGACAATAAATACTGCCTCATGGTTGAGGCTAAAGACAAAGGTGACTCCACAGCCTCCTTAATGGTTTGGGTCGAGATTGAAGGGATAGATGAGTTTGAACCCATTTTCACTCAAGATCAATATTTTTTCAACCTTCCAGAAAACTATAACCTAAGACAATTGATTGGCAGAGTGGAAGCATCAGATGCAGACGCTGGTACTGATGGTGTTATTCTTTACTCCCTTGAAATGCCATCTCCTTTCTTTTCAGTAAATAAAACAAATGGAAATATTTATTTGACTAGAGCCCTTCCCCTCATAAGAAGTCAAGTCAGCAAAGAAGACACCATTGAAATGAAAATAATCGCTCATAGCCCTAAACAGGACTCCAAGTTCGCATCTTGTACTGTCTTTGTGAACGTGTCTTTTTCCTCAGAAGGAAAACGCTCAGCAGTGTCGGCTAGCCGCTTCTCAATCAGCCTCACCATCTCCTTTTTAGCGTTTCTGTTACTCATCATCCTTCTGACTATCCTGATTTTAAGACACAAACAAAAAGACACAGGCAACAGTTACAAAGACAAGAAAACGTCATCATCCTTAGATACCAGTTTGAGACTGTCCAGGGACGCCAGCATGCTCAAGCCCTTGCAGACAACGGATGGCTGCAATGATGCGGCAGCTCCCGTGGACTCCACGCCAGAATGGTTGAGTTTAATAAGTATCATGGAGAAGGACGCTGGGCATCTGTACAGGCGCTCAAGCTCCAGTGACCGCTGTTCTGTGGAAGGAGAAACCGCAGAAGATAAGGAGATCCAGAGGATAAATGAGCACCCTTACAGAAAGGACGCTGGCTCAGCTCTGAGCGACCGGGAGTCCAGGGTGCCGGACTCTGGGATCCCAAGGGACTCGGACCAGCTCTCCTGCTTGTCTGGGGAAACTGACGTGGTGGTCACTGTTGTGACAGCAGAAACCAGCCACGTGCTGGAGGAAGAAGGTGGAGGAGACGGTGGCACAGCCTACATTCAAAATGATATGCTGCCCCGAACACTAAGGAAGAGAGAGGTCAAAGTGGCCATCCCGGCTGAGGTCAGGAAAGAGCCTGTCTTTGTTTCAGGTGATCCGGAAGCAAGATGCGCGACACAGAGAGCCTCTGATCACGATGGGAGAGGCAGCTTTCACTGGAATTATCTCCTCAGTTGGGAACCCAAGTTCCAACCCCTTGCCTCAGTATTTAATGATATTGCAAAACTAAAGGACGAGCATTTACACGAACCTGGAACTCCCGAAGAGAAGAAATGTTTTGTTTTTCCACCCCCTTTGATCACCGCAGTAGCTCAACCCGGAATTAAAGCAGTGCCACCAAGAATGCCAGCCATGACCCCAGGGCAGGTTTTTCACAAATACCCACACTCCCCCCTTCTCTACCATCTCAATTCCCTGCCTGAAGCCATGACGCCCAGCTTTTCTCCATCTCTTTCCCTCTTGACAACACACACCCCTGCCGTGACTCCACTCTTGTCGCATGGAGATTTCTTAGGAGTACATCTAAGTGATGCGTGCCATGAACTTAAGGCAGAAGATGAACGTCAGACATAAACCAGTTGTGATGCCAATTGCACTGCTCACCATTGGTCAAGAATGGTTGAACAGAACATTCTTAAGCAAGCTTCTCAAGACCACGTTCATTTTACCCATGCAGGATGATATCATTTTGCCAGGGTTTTTAGAACCTCCTCATTTAAGTTTCTCAAATTTCTTCTTCCAGCCTTAAAGAGAAGTTACCTCCTTTAACCTTTATGTTTTGCTCTCAGGATTCCTTTGTTTATATTAAATAGTATATATTCTGTCATGCCTGGTTTTCTGTATGTTTAGATTTCCAAAGGACACAGTGAACTTGACTTACTAGCAACATCCTATCTAATAAAAGAAATATGCAAATTGGTCATCACTCCAATACACAAGATGGCTGCCCTATGTGGTCAAATATGGCTGCCCCCATGGCCAGCAAGATGGCTGCCCTATGTGGTCAAAGATGGCTGCCACAAGATGGCCAGCAAGAGAGGACATTTGGGAGGTACTAGGCCTGCAAGGGAGGGCATTTGTGGGCAATCAGTCCAGCAGGGGAGGGCACTTAGGGGTGACCAGGCCAGCAGAGGAGGGAAGTTTGGGCAACCTGTCCTGCAGGGAAGGGCAGTTGTGGGGACCAAGGCCTTCAGGAGAGGGCAGTTCAGCATCAATCAGGATGGCAGGAAAGTGGTTAGGGGGTGATCAGGCAGACAGACAGAAGCACTTAAGGGCAATCGGGAAGGCAGACAGGTGAGCAGTTGGGAGCCAGCAGTCCTGGATTGTGAGAGGGATGTCCAACTGCCAGTGTAGGCCCAATCCGGACATCCCTCAAGGTGTCCTAGATTAGAGAGGGTACAGGCTGGGCTGAAGCACACACACCCCCATGCACAAATTTTGTGCACCAGGCCTATAGTATTTACATAAAAACAAATGGAAATAAAGTACAGGTAGAGTCACTCAGTCACATTACTGCTGATTACCTAGTAATTTGGAAGGATGAACTTAAGTTTTAAAGTGAAACCATTTTCCATGTACCTGACACATTTAGAGATGCATTTCTCCACTTTCAGCATCAGCAACACTGGTGGGGTTAGCCATAATTTGAATTTTATTAGTAATGTGGTGTCTTTTGGAAATTTAATTAAGAATGAAATTTGTCATAACTCTGTGCCAAATAAGAAAATTATTATTTTTTAAATGAACCAGGAATGTTTGTTCTTGACAGAGGGTCAGGGTTGATAAAAGCAGTGTGTGTTTAGCTGTCACCTGAGACACATTTCCTTGACCTTTCCAAATAGAATGATGAGGTTTTTTTTCTCATTGTCTGTTTTGTAACATTGTATGGATACAGCCATTAACATTTGAAGATTAAGTCATATACATTTTTGAATTTTATTTTCTTCTAGATATAGTAACTTTTGGTAAGAAATAATTTATCCACTCAATGTCAGTTTTAAAAGTTTGTGTAGATAAAGTTATGTTATTAGCAAATAATTTTATAGAGTAATTTAGCAATATATTTTTCAATGAAGTTTTTTTACATAAATATTTCTACTATAAAAGTTAAGAATGGATATCAGAAGTATTTCTTCCATTAGTTCATGTTTAGCTTTAACTGACATTAGATGGAGCAGTTGGACAACACAGTTAAAACAAGTCTGTTTTGTATGGCTGTTTCAGAAGTATAGTGGTGTGGGGGCCAGGGGCTCACATATAATGCTATACCTTCTCTCTGGTGAGTCTGAGGATCCACCCAAAGTTGTTTTCTGTTCCAGGAAAGCAGAGCACTTTCTGATGATGCGGGTCCTGAAGTCATCCATGGTAGGCGACCTGGGCAATCTTTGGAATGACCTTAAGATTCTCATGAGCATCTGATATGGTTTTCTTGATGGTTAATAAACAATATAATTTGTGTAGTTTTTCTTCAAGTTTAATATTAACTTGCCTCATATGTTCTGTGTTACTTTGCTGATCTACACACTGTGTAGTATGAATGTCTGCTATAGAAATATTTCCTCTTTTATTTTTCAATAGACCTCATCTGTAAATGTGAGTTAACTCATTTCTCTCTACTGGAAAACAGTTGCAGGATGCTGTGTTTGATGTCCAATTTTGTAGGTAAATAATTCCAAGGATTTCTGTGCTGATTCTATCATATCTCTGCTGACTCTTACATCAAAAACAAGTATGTAAAACCACATTAGAAATTGTATGAAACATGAAGGTTTTTGGTCAAGCCTAGAATCCCAGAGAATGTCAGTTAGGCAGGAGATACTTAAATATTAAAGGACAATGCTTGCCTTCCTTCCTTCCTTCCTTCCTTCCTTCCTTCCTTCCTTCCTTCCTTCCTTCCTTCCTTCCTTCCTTCCCAGGAAAGAAGTCTTCATGATTTTTCTAAAAAAAAAAAATTAATTCTTCCAGTGTTCCAATATTTATTCTTTGACCTCCTTCAAAAGATCACTTTGAGCGTACAAAGAAATTGATACTGATGTTTAAGAACATATATATATATGGAAGTTGTGTTTTGCAACAGAATTATTTCTAAGAACAAAGAACATTTTGTTATTTCTAATTAAACAGGTTCTTTCTTTACTTATACTTAAAGAGAGATATGCATCTAACTCTTAAGTTATTTGCCTGTGACTTATTACTCCTTTTGGACAAGATTCTGCTTTTTTTTTTAGACATTTAATACAAACAGAAGACAAAAAGTATTTAGAGCCATTCCTTACCAATATCTAGTGGATTTTTAATTCATGACTTTATTAATACTGTATCCAATGCCATACCACCACCAAACAAATGATGCAAGTGGGGTTAAGAGTAAAACTGTAAACATGCTGGTTAAGTGTTTGCAATAAATCATATGTCAGCCCTTTTCAACTAGAGTGCTTTTTTCCCTAAATAAACAATATAATTTGTATAGTTTTCCTTCAAGTTTAATATTAACTTGCCTCATATGTTCTGTGTTACTTTGCTGATCTACACACTGGCTTTAGCACTCTGGAGGGTGTACAGAACTTGTTAGTGGAAAATCATATTAAGCCCCAAATTCATAAGCTATAAAATAAAAGACAGTTGTCTCTTGTGGAATTTTGGCTGCCTGATATTCTGGACTTTCTTGTTGGAAACCTTAAAAACACTGGTGTAAATCAGTACCAAATGGATATCAAAATTCCATGTCCCAGTAGTAATCATTGAGTTGGCTTCCAAAACAGATTCCTGGGGGAGAGGGGGATAGCGGGGGCGGGGGGGGGGGGTGCTGTATCTTTAAGGATTGGATCACTTAACTATTCTCTGAAAATATTAAAATGTGCTATGAACTACTGGCTGCCTACATGTATACATACTTAGTCTAGAATAAGGGTCCAGTTGAGATAGGAGTTGAATTTCCCAGCATGTTTATAGCAGTTTCAGTGACCTCTTTGCTGTGTTTCCTAGAATTTATCATGAAAGTTAATTACTAATGTTAAATTTATTTACATCCAAACATATCTTTTGTTACATTTGTTTTGCCACTTTACACGTTTTAAAACTTGTTTAAAAAAGCAAGGCAAAACTAAAAAAATGGTGAGTAGATTTGAAGAGGATTATTACGGATAAGCTCCTTGTGTTTGCACTCATAGCATGCTTTCGTTGGGCTTAAAAGTATAGAGCCATCTGTTTGGCTGTAGCTGAGGAGAGGTAATATGGAAAATCATTCTGTTCAAGGAGAACACCTCCATCAGTGAAGTTGCAAAAACCTTGCTTATGACTAAAACCAGCATTCCCCTGTGAGTCAATGAAGGTAGCTTTCCCCCATTATAGAAATGGAGGGAGAGAAGCAGGGAAGAGAAAATGGAGGATTAAATCTGAAAAGGAATAGTTTAGGGCACTGATAGAGAGCAATAAGAGAAAAATAATTTTTTAAGTGTAAAGACCTTGCTGAGTCATTTCCCTCTTACAGGTCCATTCTGTCCAGGAATTTCTTTCTTTCTTTAAGTAATATTTTCCCCTCCTCCTTCCTTTCTGTTTCTTTCAAGTTTCTATCTCTATTGCCCCATTGTTTGAAAATTTAGGTTTATCCAAATTGTGGGCCTAAAGCTAGGCAGCATGCACTAAAGTAAACTTGACCGTGAAACTTGAATTTCTTTTTGGCGAATTACAAGATAAAAAATTCGGAATGATTACTCTGTCTTACTCCCATCTGCATGACTTTGGCATTGAGAGTGCCACAATATTAAGTAGGTGGATTTACACAGATACCAAGAAATGAAAGTTCAGAAGGCAGTTGGGACAGAATATGGAATTTTAGTACCTGGTCCTTTTTCTGGTAGCTCATCTTTTTTCTTTTCTTTTTTATATATTAATTTAGAGAAAGAGGAAGGGAGAGGCAGAGAGAAAAAGAAAAACAAATCTTGGCTGCCTCCTCCACGACCCCTCCCTAGGATCGAGCCTGTAACTTGGGCATATGTCCTGACCTGGAATCAAACTGGTGACCTTTCTGGTCATGGGAAGACTCTCAACCACTGAGCCACTCAGCCAGGCTGGTGTCTCCTTTTTAAAAATGAGTGCTTACTTGGTAGTCATGATTTTATATTAAAATATTACATTTTATGTAACCTTTAAACTACAGTATTTAACACAGAGACATGGTTAATAGTTTGTTCTCAAATATTGACAATTTTATTTGAATTCTGGTGTCATAAATTATTTGATTCCATATAGTACAAAGAAATTAATTGGAAATAAAATTGCCCAGCCAGTATAGCTCAGTAGTTGAGCACCAACCCATGAACCAAGAGATCACGGTTCAATTCCTGTCAGGGCACATGCCTGGGTTGCAGGCTCAATCCTAAGAAGGGAGCAAGCAGGAGACAGTTAATCAATGATTCTCTTTCATCATTGATGTTTCTCTTTTTCCCTCTCTTCTCTCATCCTCTATCTCAAACCAATAAAAACATTTTTTTTTTAAATTATGGCAATCTTACAAAGATCCAGCAAAAAGTGGCTGGAGTATCAAATGATACCTTTCTCTTGTAAACTCAGCA